CAGGTATCCCTCCCCCAAAAAGAAGGATTAGAGAATCCTAAAGAAATTCTGAGCAGGACCTTCCACTGTTAAGTAAAGGGATCAGCTGATCTCCCATTGGTTAATGCAAAAACAGGGCACAGAACACAATATGGAACACACTCACATACTTAGGAATTTTTAAGTATCTAAATGGTTTAGTGACTAAAAGGTATTTATAAAAGTTTCATCTATTGAAATATCTAAAAAGCATAATTCTATAGAATCTATATTTTAATTGTTAAATGCTCAGTCACTAATTAAACTTTTGTATTTCACTTAATCTAAACATAATATTACATTAATGAGAGTTTAGTTTGTCACCTGCAAATAAAAAGTAGGAGTATAAACTGAAAATGAAAGCACAGAAAGCAAAATTTAACAGAAGATTTCTTAACCAGAAATAAATAACACAATATAGAACAAACAACAACAAAAAGACATTGATATGGAACCATTCAGACTTAATAAAGACAAAAAAACCTGCTACTCTTCAAATGATCCTGATAAGAGAATAAAAGCCAGGCACCTGCCAGTGATTCCAGTTATTGGGCAACCACAGGTAGGCAGATTAACATTGAAAATGTTAATTTCTCTGTTACTTCTTTCAAACTGGCAACAATCTTATGAAACCCAATAGTGAGGTTCACATCTATAAGCTACATAAATAGTAAATAATATTCAAAAATGTGTTGTAGTATAAGATTGTAGGATAGTGTTCATAATATATAAGTAAGGATACTTTAAATTAGCCTGTCCAAAAGAAATCTCTGCACTGATGGAAATCTTTCATATTTGTGCTGTCCAATAACCTCTAGCCCATGTGGCTATTGAGCACTTGAAGATAGCTAGAATGAATGAAAAAGGAAATTTTAATTTTATTTAAATTTAGTTAATTTAAATATAAATAGCCACATATGGCTAGTGTTTACCATAATGGGCAGGACAGCATTAGACCAATCTAATGTCAGTGTGTGCTGTAACAGGTCCAGTTTTAAACAGCAAGGACCTTTATTTTTGTAATTACCACAAAAGGGCAGTCAACCTTCTAGACTCAAACCCAACAGGTTACTCTTAGCAGAAGTTTAGGATCACAATGGAAGACTGGGCTTGATGGTGACAGACTTGGAGGTGTCCCTTCCCTATGCTCTATCTCAAGTTGTAAAACATGCAGTGAAATAATAGAATAAAATTCATTCTCAACCACAGCACAGTTCATCTGTATTCTCTCTTCTCACACTCCTAATGCCTGACGTTGGTCTTTGAACCATGGACTAACTATATCTGGAAAATGGCCATTTCTCATAGAGGAGGACAGAAAATTTCTCTGAGCAAGCCAATATTTTGCCATAGCCCATCAGATCTCTCCTCATAATAAGAACCTCATGTAATTTCTATAATTTCTCCCCCTGCTCTGTCCTAGTTTCTAGGAACCAAGGAATTTGTGATTGTCTGATCTCCTGAGCATCAGGCTCTCCTCACTCTGGCCTGCCTTTTTGCTTGCACTTGCCATGGCTTCACCCAGATTGCTCGCCTAACCTCACTTCCTCTAACTGTCCTAGTCCTTGCTGCCGGACCCACATCTTTGGTTTGCCATTACCCAACATGGCATGTAGACATGGACCCTTTTCTAGGGTGAGGCTATATGAACAGAAGTTATGCCACGAAAAGAGTAGAATTTAGGTTGCTAGACTGTGTCACACATTGGAAAGAATTGGGTCCTGAGACGGATTGGATTTCAGTTTCAATCTCACTTATACTAGCTGTTTAAATATGGGTTATTTACTAACTTTTAATATGTCTCCTAATGTAAAGTGCAACCAATTATTCTCTCGAGATTATGCCAGTCAACAAAATAGCATTTTAAAAGTTGTAGACAATAGTGATTTTATATAAGATGTTACATGAAATAAATTTGAAAGGGAAAAGAGAAGAGCTGGAGAGATCAGTTAGTAAATACTAAAATAGGGGCAATAAACCAGAGATGAGGTCATGAAGGCCTATGGGAAGATGGCAGCCACAGAAGAACAAGGTCAATACACAATTTGAAGGAAGTAGAGGCCTTAGTGATAGATTAGATAAAGGAGAGGAAGGAATTAAAGATAAATCCAAGGTAATGGGAAAGATGAAGTTATGAAGTATAAGATAGATCAAAATCAGGAAGCTGATGTTGAAGGGCAGGTTAGCAGCAAAACAGGATTTTAAAAAAAAGATTAGACTTTAGATCCCATTAAGTGAAGGGTCATTTATTAATTTGTAGAAATCACAAAGTTAGTTCATAGCACAATTGAAGCTAAGGCTCTATTATCTTTATTTCCACATAAAACAATCATTTTTATTTTAGTCTGAAATGAAAATATAAGACATTCAAATAGTTTTTAAGGGCACTGATTTATAGGACAAGGATGGAATTATAGTTTTGGGAAACAATGGAACACAGGTAATAGTTGAAACTACTAGGTTACATGAGCTCACTGAATGATGAAGTATAAAGGGAAAAGAAAAAAGTGGTCAATAGTTTAACATGCTAAAGGGATGTCAGAGAACCAGAGTGCATTTGGAGTTTTAGTCCCACATCTGACCTGTCCCATTCAGGAATGATAGCAATGAGGGTGATATCGGCACTAATCCAGCTCTTGCCTTTTAACAGACTTCCCTAAATGATTTAATATAATGTTTATGATTCTAAACATATATAGTTATCAATAGATGCCATTTTAAATAGACAAGGATTTGAAAGCTCAGAAAGTTCTGATCAAGATCACACGTAAGTAGTATTCAGGATTTAAGTGTAGATACTTAAGTTTCAAACAGCTATGACCTTTTTGTCTAAGCTGGGATAATTTGAGAGTAAAAGAATAATACAAGTAAACTGGAAATCCTGGGCAAAACCAGGTCCTATGGTCACTGTGGTTATTAGACATTAAGTCTGCCTTGAATGACCCAAAATGATAAATTCAGTTCCATTGAGGTTAGACTTTTATCATAGATCTTTTTCTCCTTCCTTCAGAATTTTACTTCCTACTGCCTTCTTGTCTTAAACTCTACCTTATGTCTTTAGATTCTTCCTTTCACAAATGTGCCCCTTAAATATGCTTTGCTGTGTGTTCTGGAGTACGTCTCCACAACCACCACCTTTGTCTCTGTACCTTTTTCATTCTCATACTTTCATTCAATGAACACTTTTCTCCTTTAGTTTTCACATCATGCCATCAGTTCATCTTTAAAAAAATAAAGAACTGATTACCTGATTAAAACAAAACCATCAATGGTTCTCTTTTAGTTCCACAATAATATTCACAACTTGTTAGCCCCTTCTCCCAGTGTCTGCTATGCTGCAAGATAAGCAGCTCATTCATGATACCCGAGGTCAGTCACCTTCCCCTGTCTATCAGGGCAGGGACCATGGGTAGAATAGCACTCAGTATGCAATAAGGACTCAAAGACTGTTGATTATGGAAATGTTCAACAATTCAAAGGCTTCCTACTTTGTAATTCTATTCACACAGCAATAACAACAGCATCCCAGGTAAATAATAGTTGCATATGTATTTTTGACATTTATTGTTTTAATAAGTTGCAGATTTATTTATGGACAACAAAGAATACATTTTTAAAAGAGTAACAATGTCATAATATTTGTCATGCCCAAACTGAAACATTGTATCTTATACTACATCTTAAAGCCATAAGAATATCTTATCATCTAAAGAGATATCTAAACTTGGTGGTGGGTGAAATATAGGAGTTACTATCAAATCAAGAAATTCCACAAAAATATACTGTTGGGCATTGTTTCTTGTTTATTTATTTATCTTTGTTTATTTGGAGATCATATTTTTACATAAACAAATAGATCTGGAGGTTTTGACCAAAGAAATGTTTTAAAAGTGTTTCTTCTTTTGTTTATGTTGTCACTGTTTAAATCATACTGAAATATACAGAGATGGCCCTTAGAAATGCTCTACCTTGTCCTCTTCCACTAGAGCTCAATATTTATGGTGAGAATGGTAAATGTGTTCTGCCTGCTTAAATAACAGTTTTATATTATTCTGTCCTGCAGAGTAATAAAGGCATATGTTAATTAGAAAACATTAGAAATCATGATAAAATTTGGCCTGTTGTAAGGCAATGGGGTAAAAAATTTAGACCCTTGTATTAGTTCTTAAAATAATTAAGAAAATTCACTTAGAAGTTTTTTTTTTCTTTTTTAAACCCAAAATATGGCATGACCCTAAATATAATAGTAATCAGACCAACCTATGTCAATATCAATATTCTTAAAACTTTGCAGGGCTGTGTAATGCCAAACATGAATTTTAGCAATAGAAGTTGTCATTATTACTATCAATGTTAAGAAATGATAAGGAGAGGGAAATATTACCTGCCTGATTTGATAATTACACATCATACACATGTATGTATTAAGTTCATACTATGTCCCCAAATATGAAAATCATTGTTAATTTAAAAGAAAAGATATAATTATGTATCAATTACAAATAAAAAAATATGTTCTAGAAAAGAAGAAGTTAGCATTACAGTCTCACCCCTTTCTACTGAGCTAAGAGGCAATAGATGGCTTAGTCATTAAACCACAGACTGTGGGAATCAGATTACCAGCTTGAATCCTAGCTCTTCAGCTAAGAAGTTATGAGACCTTGACCAAATTAGTCAACTCCTCTCAAACTGTAGTTTGCTGATCTTTCAAAAACATAAAATAATACTATATCTTACATGTCATTGTGAATTTTAAAAGTATCTATAAAAGCATAGATAGTGCAAACTACATAGCTCGCACTCAGTCAATACCAGCTGTTACTATACATAACAAAAAATTCTGGAGATTTGTCTAGCTTGATGTGAATTAGTTTTAAATGTATTTTATAATATTGTACTTAAGCAACTATACAAAAACACAACCAAATGGACAATAAGGAGCTTCTTATCAATCCAAAATCAATGACAAAACAATCACTAACCATTGAGCCAGTAGTGCTCTGAAATGTCAGTTCTGATGTAATGGTGGTCATGAGTGGGCCCCAGGGACCTTGTGAATGCAGTATCTTTGCCAAGGAAATCAGATGCTGTTCCAGAATAGAGGTACTCATCTGGGAGAAAGAAAAGCACACATAGGACTTTTCAGATACTGACCTTAGATACTATTGAAAACATACAAATTTCACAGCATGACACCAAAGACAATGCTTGCTTCACATCAGAATATATTGTTTCACAAATTTCACTTTCAGATTTTGAAAAATAAGCTTAGTTGAAGACACAAGTCAATTAGCTTTCATCATTTAATGCTAGATACTCTAAAAAGACTAAATTCTTCCACATTAATAATTGCACATGCATTGGCTTCTCTTTGAACCAACTCTTTATTCCTTCTCCCCACAAATATTTCAGTAAAACATTATAGTTAGGAATTCTTCTTTGCAACAACACACAGAAAATATTAAAAAAAAAATTAAATGCCATAATGAGGAATGGATTGTGTAATTAGTATTTACTTAACCGAACAACCTCAAGGACCACAACTTTTCTTTGCCTAACTTCTGCTGAAAGGGAGCTTTCAGCACTGAAGTCATTCTTTGTAATTATAACATGCCGCATTCCTTGTAGCTAATCATGTCTCTAATAGTTCTGATAAACAGGAGTTCTTGAAAAGAGAAAGATGTTGCATTACAGCATACCAAATTTCTTTGTCCTGTTATTTACATAAAGTGAATGTCCATGTTTTATCAGGCACAGAAGAGAGAAAGGGTAAGGAAAAGAGAGAGGGGAAAGGGGATGGGGGAGGACAGAGAGGAGGAGAAAGGAAAGAATGTCAGGAAGGAGGAGGAAGAAAGGAAGTAAATCCAGAGGAGGGTACAGAGAGGTGAGGGGGCTGAGAAAAAGAATGAAAGGGAGCAAGGAAAGAGAATCAGGGATTGAAAAGGAGAGATGAGGATGGGGGAGTGGAGAGGAGGGGCTGGGTCAGTGACAGGGCCCCCTTACTGCTAGTGGCAGGGCTGGGAAGGGGCGGAGTGGATGGCAGGACAAAGTATTGCCCCTTTGAGAGCCAAGCCTTTGCCATTTCAAGAGCCTTTTACAGTCCACTACTGTAGGCTATATGTTTTAAAAAAAAGTAAAACTGGTCTACAGAGCATTTAAATTTTTAAGTGCCTATGTATGAAAATAAAAACATTAGTTTATCATTGAAATTCAACTTTCCTCAGAAATGTAATCTAAATTTATCTAAATAAGCCCTTGGGAAAATTATGCTTAAATAATGACAGTCGGCAGCTTCTAAAGGAAACCAAACAATATACAAGTGAGAGAAATTCAGCTGTGTAAATGTGTTAAAGACACAGTAGTACTTCATCCTCTTAAGGTACTTCCTAAAGTATGTCAGGTTAAATGGAAATATTTTCTTGCAGAGCAAATTTTTTTTAAATCAGAAAAACATAACCTAGTGAAACCAATGATCTTGCTTTGAAGTGAAACTGTGCATGTTTCTGTGTGTTTTGAAAATTATGTGGCTAACATTTACTCATCCTCAGAAAGTGAAATAGATAATTTGGGATTCTCATCTGTCAAGTGGGATTAATACCCTTTATAAAATGCAATGGACTGTGGGCACTCATGAGTCCTTTTATGATTCTGTGTATGACTTTAGATGCAATGAAGATAGTTTTAAAACTAGATATGCAGAACCAAATTTTAATTTGAAACCTACCATGTTTTCTGATAAAATAGTCAATTATATATTTCAAAGTAATGGTTTGCTTCCCTTCCTCTTATCAAACTTTTCACAATGTCTTTGTTGAGATCCCAAATCATCTATTTCACTTTCTGAGGATGAGTAAATGTTAGCCACATAATTTTTAAAACATACAGAAACATGCACAGTTTCACTTCAAAGCAAGATCATTGGTTTCACTAATGAAAATTAAAATGTCACGGTGCTTTAGTCTGATGGTTTATTCAAACATTTGATAGACAAGTTACATAAAAAGAGGCCAAAGTCATGAACCAAACCAAGACAAAAAGTATTCTGGTAATGGTTGAAATTCTAGGATCCTGCTGACATTCTATAGAGCATACTTCAGACCACACAGTACTGCCTGCTTCCTTTGAATAAGATTACCATCTCATATTTAAGATATATACAAAGTGAGAGAAAACTAAATGTACAGGAAAAAAAAAGAAAAAAAAATTCCCATTTCCATTAATAGAACATTTTGGGAAAAATATGTTGTAACATTATATATCTGTATTTGATAGCTTGATTCATTTGGTTTATTGATTTACACACATGCAGAATTCTTAAATTTAACATCCCTACTGAGCCAAATAGGGACATAACTCAGTATAAAAAAATAGGCATATAAATATAATATTATAGAACAAGCATGTCATTTGCATTAAAAAATTCAACCAGAAGTTCATTTTAAAAGCAGTTGTGTAGACATTAGGATTGCTGAAACCTCACTTTATTGGAATGTTCAGTATAAAAAGATTTGGTACTAAAATACTGGAACCAAATAGCTGGTGGAAGACTAATCCAAAATTATGTTCAACTCACTAAGAAAATGTGGCTTTTCTACACATGTATGTCTACGCATATCTTTTCAGAAAATCATTTTAGAGCAAGATATATGTGTCATCAATCTTACCTGTCATTACTGATGCAAAAGGCTGCTGAGGATCAAAAGGACATTTCAGTCTGCCAGACTCCAAATTATGTGGGTCCAGTTTGAATATGACTTCCTGTTATGAGAAATATTAATGCAAGTGAGATTTTTAATGATATTACAACCAGTAAGTACATAGAAGAATTAAATTCTAACTCATTAATTCAATAAAAACTAATAGAGCATATATAGCATGTACTTCATGCTGATCCTTAACTCTTTAGCCAATATTACATTTGGCAAGACTCAATTCTCATGTTTGGTCTCCTTTTTCCCAAGGTGGTAATGAACTACTATCAATATCAAAATCACTAAGCAAACATATTTTTTAAGCTTACTAATTAGTTTATTATTATTAATTTAAACCAATCTCCTCTTTTAAGAAATAAATTTATTATAATATTTATGCTAAAAGAAATAAATTTATTATAATATTTATGCTTTTATGTTAATGATTATGATTTATGTTACTAAGCATCTGCAACTATGTCAAATTACTTAAGCCGTGCATGTGTGAGTGTGTGTGTGTGTGTGTGTGTGTGTGTGTGTGTGTGTTAAATGACATAAAAATGTTCTGAGGCAGGCAGTTAATTTTCAGAGCTATTGATGCATGTGGGCAAAAAAAAAATATCCTGTTGTAGTATTTTCACTATTATAAAAACACTATACACATTAAAGCCACATAGTTATTTTGGCTGAAACATCTATTTTTGTAATAGTGGCCACAGACAGAATGACATTGGCAGACTTTTAATATTCAGGAAAAAAAATAACATCGTAAGTTGATCTTTCCAAGAAAAATATGAATGTATAATGAATGTAGCCCCATGAGCCTGAGTGTTTCATAACAATGACAACACTACATCCAGCAAAAAGGCAGATGACTCACTCTCTGCATTTGTTGGAGAAGTCCAGCATTTCAGACATTCTCTCTAGATGGATTATCTGCAAAGTTATACCATAGCTCACATGGAATAAGAGAGAACTGTTCAATGCTACAAGCACTGAAGCAAAAGGGATAGAGGACATTGTATTACTTATTGTATTATGTTATCAGTTGAGATTTTTTTCCCCTTTTGAATGAGACCAATAGTAACTAAAAAATAGTAATAGCAATTTAAGTAACCTGATTAACAATCAATATTATGCAGTTTTAAATAAACCTACTTTAATGCTAGCCATAGTGGCACCTAACAGTTAACAGGTACTAACCAAGATCTAGAAAGTTTATGCAGATTGTCTCACTGAATCCTCACCATAAGTCTAACAGTGTAGCTACTTCAACAATTCTAGCTCTGCCAATTACTATAATATTGAAGATAGAAGGAGCACATTCTTTGTTCAGTGTCACATAGTAGTAGTAAAAGGCAAATCAAGAGCTTGAACTCATGGTTGTCTCCAAAGTTAACAATATAGTCTCAGAATTTTAAACTCATTTATATAAGAATGTGTTCATGTTTATTTATTGACTCACTGTGACCATGTAACATAAGTCCAAGTGTGTTTAGTTTGATCAGGTTAGTTAATGAAAAGTAATAAAGGAGCCTAGGTACAAAAAAAAAAAATATCCAATGAAAATGTATTTAGGGCATACTTCCAAACATAGCTGGGGACAGAGATGAGTGGGGAATGGGGCTGTGATAGTGGCTCTTAAGTAAGTTTACTTATCATTAAAGGCACATTACTTTCCACAGGTTAACTAGGCCTATTGACTCTAAAAGTCTATAATTAGATACTGTAAAGGGAAAAGTAAACTAAATCCTGTTCTACAGGTTATAATAAAAAACTAGAAAATATCTGGAGACAGCAGGAAAGCAGGTTTCCTTGAGCCAGTCAAGGGCACCTACAGAAAAATAAAGTAAAAGAATGGATGATTCAATGCACTTCCTGAGATAAACTCATGGCATTACATGGCACTCTAAGTTTTGAGATTTCAATTTTATGAGATTTGCCTCCTGAAATTCCTTAAACCTAATTATTTATGCAAAAATCACCTGTCTGAGCTTCTCATACAGACATATTGTTAGAGAAGGAAAAAATATAAGTAGATAAGAATGATAGTAAGAAAATATTCAATCATCAAAACTAGTAAAGTTACTGCCAATATCATCCCCACTTAAAGGTGAAATGTGCAGCAACAGAGTGTTGAACTCAGAGAAAAGAACTTGCTTCTAATCCAATTGTTAAACAGCTATCACAATTTCCAGTATTGCAGGGTATTAATATTACTTCATATAAAGTGTATACACACACACACACACACACACACACACACACACACACATGCATATGTATTTTAAACTTATGCCTTTTTACCTTTCTGTCTTCCTGTTTCCTATTTTAATGAATATTAAGTGATTAGAATGGAGCAAGTGCTATTCCAAATTATTGTTATTCCAATCATTTTCTCATTTTGTACTTTAAACTCTGTGAAGCAGTTACTATCATAATCATTATCATTTTATTGAATAAACAATAAATTAGGAAATGTATGCAGTATGCAACAGGTCATGGATTTGGTAAATGACTGAAGCCATATGTCAAGCTCTGATGGTCCGTACCCAAGCTACTATTAGAAGTTGTTGACAGCAGTCTTGATTTCTCTGTTGAATCTGGACCCAATTGCCCTCTTGGCATGACCTACTGAACAGGTTTCAAATGCAAAATGTGCAATTACTAACTCACTATTCTATCCACAAACTTGGTAATACTCTGACCTCAATAAATATGACCACGCTCCAACTGGCTGCTAATTCTCTAGGATTCATCATAGTTATTTCCTCTTCTCACTGCCCCAGCCACATTAAGTAGCAGTCTCCAGAGAGTTCCTTCCTCTAGCCCTACAGAGTATCACTGTTTCTTCTCTCCAGCAATCTTATCTTAAATGAAAAGGGATTCTAAACTCTTACAATAATTTCTTGAAATTAACGGTTCATTTAAAAAAGTTAACAATCTTGAAGGAAGACTGCCCATACAATTACCTGTATTTCTGACCTGCTGAAAACTCTCAAGGCTTAATACTCCTGTTCACTCATAATTTTCTTATTCATAGAACTTGTAAATTTGACTGCCTCAGGGCTTCTTGACAGTCCCAAGCTAAGTAATTAGCTCCATCCAAATTCCCTTTCAGCACGTGTGACTTTTAAGGAGCTATGAAACACTATTTGCTTTCCTCAGCAGGTTGTAAGTTTGGCCTTTAGCCTCAAGTCTCAAAGCACACCCAAGCTGTGGGGCTATCTCATATAATTACACCCTATGCTATGAGCTACTGTTATATATCACCCTTCATCAAAGCTAGGCGGGAGAACATTACACCAGCAACAAAGAATGATGGATTCAGTTGCCAAGTCTCCTAGTGGTTCAGAGATTTAACCATCATGGTTGCTTTATTTTCAAACAGTAGAGTCTGAGCTGCTTAGACAAGCTGGTTAGAGAGGAAAATCTATCCTGCCACACTCGTGGGTTTGATCTCTGCATGAATCAGTTAAATCAATGTAAGGAAACCTGTTTCAGAACCCTGGACTTTACTTTCAAACACACAGCCAATCATCCTGCAAATATATGTGGTTATTCACAAGAAGCATATACATAAACATGAGGATAACAGTCCATACAAAGAAACAATTTAGAGTTCATATTTTAAAGCTCAGCAGAGCATGCTGGCTCTAGATGCAGACTGTCTTGGTTCTACTCATTACTAGATCATTTATTGGGTGGGTGACCTTAAAAATAAAATTTCTTTCCCAATAGGACAACTTTTGCTAACCCATATGTTAGAATTTATAAAGGTACTAACTTCATTAATAGTTTGTGAAATTCCAAAAAAAATAATCCATATAATATGCATGATATAGTCTATAACTCACAACACTTTAAAATAGTCATTAGTTAAATTTCTGAAATTCACATATTTCTTATTTGCAAAAGTGTTCATTGCTATCTGGAATAAATTCATCTTAATTAACACATACTTTATTTCTTCTATGCTATTTAGGTGCTACATAATCAATAAGTTCAGTTTGATAATTACTATCTATACAAATTTAAGAAATTCATTAAAGTTCTCTTTACTTAGTGACCACTATCATAAGGATTCATAACAGGTCAACTTTACTGGATGGGAAAAATGAAATTATATAGAAATAATTCCACTGCAAGATCATATGGAAAATGGATTCTTACCAACAGCAACAAACTATATATATCTACTTATAAAGGAAACTCAAGGGAAAAATGAAAGTATCCAGAAAGCCCATATAAAGCAAAAAGACTTTTAGCATTTTACATTATTAATTTTATTTTTTATTAAAAATAACTTTTAATAGAAAAATGTACTATGTAGCTAAAATGTATAATCAAAATGATAGTCCATAAAATGGTTAGGAAGATAAGTCCTTATACAGTTAATAAAGTGTATTTTTAATCTTTATATTCAAATATATCCCATTTATATTAAAGTTA